CATGAGGTACTAATGCCATTCTATAAAGCCTTAGTAAGACCACACCTAGAATACCGCAACCAATTTTGGTCTCCACACTATAAAAAAGATGCTGAAACTCTGGAGAGAGTGCAGAGAAGAGCAACAAGGGTGATTAGGGAACTGAAGGCTAAAACATATGAAGAACGGTTACAGGAACTGGGCATGGCTAGTCTAGTGAAGAGAAGGACCAGGGGAGATCTCCACAGACAAATGGCACAGACTATTTGTGAGTTGCAGCTGAAAATAGGGACTTGCGAACCGAAGGAAACCGAATCCAAAAAACAAGGAAGAAATTCCGCATGCCTTCAGCCCCACTTCATTTGCAAACCTGCTTCAGTCCAGTCAGTCCACAGTCTGCACAACTTACGATCATTCGTTTAAGAACCCATTCAAAGTTATGACCGCCCTGGGAAAAAATGGACTTACGACCGATCCTCGCACTTACGACCATTGCAGCATTCCTGCAGTCAAGCGATCAAAAGTCAGGTGCTGGCCAACTGACAGAGCTTTATAATGGTTGCAGCGTCCCGGGGTGACACGATTGTTATAGATGACTGCACGCTTTGCTGAACTGCAGTGGTGATCCGCTTAACGACTGCAAATGAGGTTGTAAAACTGGGCGCAATTCACTTAAGAACCGCACCCCTTAGCGATGGAGGTTCTCATCCCAATTATGGGCTCCTTGTGACTGATCAGAAATACAGGGAGACCTCGATCACAAATTTATGTTGCAAAGTGAGACACGTGTTCAGTGAGTTTTGCCCTGTTTTTTACCACTTTTCTCGCCGTGTTTTTTTTAAGGGAATCCTTAGCAGTTGTTAAATGAGTAACGCCGTTGTTAAGTGAATCTTGGCTTGTCAGAAGGGTGGCAAAAGGGGATCACACAGTGACCGTCATAAATAGGAACCACTTGTCAAACATCCAAACGTAAATCACACGACCGTGGGCAGGCTGCAACGATTGTTAAGCGGGGAAAAAACGGTCATAAGTCAATTTTTTCCCAGTGCTGTTGTAACTCTGGATGGTCACTAAATGAACCCATTATAAGTCGAGGACTTATCTGTATCTTGTGGGTTAATAACTATCATTTGCAAATGATTGTATTTTCCATTATTTCAAAAACTGCTGCTGACGCTGATATGCTTGACGAATAATAATAATAATAATAATAATAATAATAATAATAATAGTATTAGTAGTAGTAATAATAAAGTTGGAAGGGACCTTGGAGGTCATCTAGTCCAACCCCCTGCTCAGGCAGGAAACCCTATACCATTTCAGACAAATGGCTGCTCAGTCTCTTCTTAAAAATTTCCAGTGTTGGAGCATTCACAACTTCTGGAGGCAGGTTGTTCCACTGATTAATTGTTCTAACTGTCAGGAAGTTTCTACTTAGTTCTAGGTTGCTTCTCTCCTTGATTAGTTTCCACCCATTGCTTCTTGTCCTGCCTTCAGGCACTTTGGAAAATAGCTTGACTCCTTCTTCTTTGTGGCAGCCCGAGATACTGGAAGGCTGCTATCCTGTCCCCCCTCGTCCTTCTCTTCATTAAACTAGATATACCCAACTCCAGCAGCCGTTCCTTATATGCTTTAGCCTCCAGTCCCCTAATCATCTTTGTTGCTCTTCTCTGTACTCTTTCTAGAGTCTCAACATCTTTTTTACATCGTGGTGACCAAAACTGGATGCAGTATTCCAAGTGTGGCCTTACCAAGGCATTGTAAAGTGGTATTAATACTTCACGTGATCTTGATTCTATCCGTCTGTTAATGCAGCCCAGCACTCTGTTGGCCTTTTTGGCAACTTACTGTAGTTATGTATTTATATTTCCTATTTCTTAACTGGCCATCTCTCTCTCTCTCTTATTCATATGAATATACAAGGCCCACACAGGTTTTAAGAAGATCTTGCAGCAACTACTCACTAGAGTAAGTAAGAAAGTGGTATATTAAAGGAGCTGGCAAATCTACTAATAACTGTAAATCATTCCAACCTTTCTATATACCTCTTACTACATGCTCTAAGCAGCAACACTTTCTTTATTCCAGCTAAAGTGGATTGAAAATGTAGATTAAATTCCTATTGGTGACAGTTCAACATTTTTTTAGAATATTTGGACACAGCAGAAAACGAAACCGAGAGAAGGATAAATCAGGGCTGCAGAAAAGGCTCAAAAATTTTAGAAAATTATGAAAATAGAGAGTTTTTATTTTTCAGACATATAAACACTTTTGATACAATACAGACGTTATTGTCAGAGCTCAAGAAAAAGTGTCCGTTTTATGCATAACCACCCTTTTATGCCTTGGTTTTATACTGATAAAAATCGATGCAGGCTCACACAACACGATAAAAGTTTTTTTTCCCCAACTCTTTTTAGATCAATACTGAAGGTGTGTGCATTGCTGATAACCTCTTTGCATTTTAGCTGCGGAGAGAGGAAAGGTGATTAAACGCCTGGGAAATATTGCACCAGTTTTCAGAAGGGTAGATTTGGGTGTAATCCAGAATGCTAAGTTAATGAAAAGGATGGTAGCCATAAGTCAGTAATTAGACGCTGATCTTTCACACAAAGCACAGAGAATAAAAACAGTCAATAAATAACAGTCTCTGCAAAAAAAATAAAAATAAAATTGCCTTCTTTCAAAGTTTCTCATTTTTTTGCATATCTTTTCCATGGATTTATCTGAACTCAGAGGCATCTGCCATGTTGTTGTTAAAAAAGTCAAGATCAGGGGTCTTCAAACCTGGCCCTTTTATGACTTGACTTCAACTCCCAGAATTCCTCAGCCAGAGTGCCTGGCTGAGGTATTCTGGGAGTTGAAGTCCACAAGTCATAAAAGGGCCAAGTTTGAAGACCCCTGTCTTAAATCTAACAAACAAAATGGAGGCTGGCTGAGGAATTCTGGGAGTTGAAGTCCACAAGTCATAAAAGGGCCAAGTTTGAAGACTCCTGGTCAAGACAGTAGCTCATCTGCTGAGCTGAAAACCTTGCTCTCTTTTGCATGTTCCTACTGATATATAGGAGCAATCGGCAAGATCGAACAGCCCCGTCCTCAAAAAACAGAATCCACAAACCTAAAGGGATGGATCGCTGCTTACCGATCCTGAAACGAGGGAGTCAAAATCCAACTCATATCTAGAAGAACTTAAATTGTTTTGGAATATTCACTCCCAGGGCCCATATTAACTTCCACTATTTTCATGGAGTGGAGCACCCTTCACCCTAACTGGTCTTTCAGCCTTTCCTTCTGACATTGCATTTAGACTACAACCCTACATATTCTTCCTCCTGTAGGAAAAAAAAAAACTTCATGGAACATAGTGTAACCACCACCAGATATATAGAGCAGACAGTGGTGGGATTCAAATATGTGAACAACCGGTTTCCTGTGTGGATGCCGCTTCCAGAAGTTCATTCTGGGCCTGGGCAACAAAAAATTCTGCTGAAGTGGTGCGAACCAGCTGAATCCCACCACTGAGAACAGAGTTCCCCAAACTTTTCAGCTTGACGGCCGGAAAGAAAAGGGAGCAGCAGGGAAATGTGTGCGCGTGCGGCCCCGCATGTGCATCCACAAACGGATGCACGCATGACAGCCGTGCTAGCCTGTACACGCATGTGCAATGTTGTGTGCTCACATGGCACCTGCGCTGGCACCCATGCGCCTGTGCAAATGGGCCATGCACACCCTCGTGATTCTGGCAGCGGTGCTAGAGTCCCCATGCATGCGCAAATGGGGCCGCTAGTGCCCGTGCGGTGGTGCTACCGTGAGTGGGAAGGCTTGCCAGCTATTCTCAGGGCCACAGACCATAGGTTGGGGACCCTGGTATAGAGGATCAAGTTGATTGCATTTTGGAATACTTAGGGGACACAAATCCCCTGCATAGACTTGTGTCCCTTTCTAAAACAATCCCAAGGCACAGAGAACTTTTCAGAGAGATTGTCCATCAACAACAGAGCCGTGGTGGCGCAGCAGTTAGAATGCAGTATTGCAGGCTAATTCTGCTGACTGCCAATTGTAGGCAGTTCGATTCTCACCGGCTCAAGTTTGACTCAGCCTTCTATCCTTCTGTGGTTGGTAAAATGAGGAGCCAGATTGCTGGGGGCAAAAGTCTGACTCTGTAAACCGCTTAGAGAGGGCTGTAAAGTGGTATATAAGTCTAAGTGCTATTGCTGCTAAGTGCTAACTAAAGGACTTCAGCTAGACAGGAGACCAGCTAACATAATCCCTTCTCTGTCCCATGTGCCTATGGACAGAAGCATCTTTTCGTTCCATGAAATATTGACCAAAACATTTTGTGATGATGGATCAGCCACCACAGCAATTTTACCAGTTGTCTGCAGTGACAAAAAAAGTGAACATCTCACTTCTCAACCCAAGCTCACTTTCTGATGATGGGCTTCCAAAAAATTCCATAGGAGTTTGACTGAACTAACAAAAGTTTTTCTCTGATTTACCAGCACATTTTTTCCCTTGACAATTTCACACAGGTACAATGGAATTAGGTGTGCATTATACTCCAAACTCCAAACATTATACTACTCTTTTTTTCTTGGCAGAGGGTGGGTGAGGTGGGAGAACAATACATTTTAAAATATACCTTTTATTTTTCTCTCCAACAGTTCGATTGAGAAGAATGGGTGATAATGCCCCCTCGTGGTCAAAAAAAATAAATGAAGGAAATCGTTGTCTTACCTTTGATTTTATGGGTACTGACTGGATTTATAGATGGTGCAGGTGACATATCTATACAGTCAGTTTGCTAGGTTTTTTGTTTTGTTTTTTTTAAAAATCTGTACACTGAATTTCTCTTTTTTCTTTTCTTTTTCTTAAAAACCTATCAACAACTGTTTACAAGAAGTTATAAACCAGTGGTTTTTCATCACACCCACTGTTGAAAACCCACTCCAGAGTTTAGGAAGGTAGCTAGTGTCACTGTTTTTGGTGTGAGTCTATATGTAGTCTGTGGAAAAAAACCATCAGATGTTGGAAATTTCCACCGGTTTCTTCTCCAGCCGATGCAGGTCAATTCTCCCGTTTAATGGGATTTGTACTTCCAAACCCTCATCCCCTCGGTGGTATTTTCTCCCCTTCCTTAGGCAAATATAAATCCCCATACCTGTAACCAGGCTGATGGAACTCAAGCTTATTATGGAGAGGGTCACCAAGGTGGGCATGCAGCTTACGGCCTCTGCTCTCCTGTGCGTAGGCTCTATGGAAATCTGGGGTTCTTTCTCCTCAATACTGAGGTCCGATTCTTTCCTCAGAAGACTTTCAATGTAGCTCTCGTTGCTCACAGTGTCGTTGACAAAGAGGTTCACCATGATGGTGGAATGCAGAGGTTCTGGATATCCATGGTCACTCACCTTCACCAGAAGGCGATACAGGCCATAGTCGTTTTGCATGAGTGACTCCTCCAGAGTGATGTTGCCTGTTTTGGGGTCAATCTTGAAGGACTCTGGTCGAGGGCCTCTTCTCCCGATGATGCTGTATGCAATAACGGCATTCATGCCAGTGTCGTTATCTATAGCATAGACCTCTGTGATAGGAGATCCAGGCAACGTCGAAGGAAGGACCAGAAGGTAGGACATGTTAGACTGGGGGAACAAAACCAACGGGGGGTTATCATTGATGTCTAGTAAAAGGATGGTGATTTTTGCAGTCGAGGACAAGGGTGGGTCACCCCCATCCACTGCTTCAACCCACAAGACATAGGAGCTCTGCTGTTCCCTGTCGAGGGAGACCTTAGCTCTCAACACACCTTTGCCAGTGTCAATCACAAAGATATCACTTCGGTTAACCACAGAGAGGGCCACCCATCCATTTTGCCCAATATCTGCATCGGTGACACTTATAACTCCAATTTCACCAAAGCCCGGGAAATTCTCTGGTACAAAGAAACTGAAATCCTTGTTGATAAACCTCGGGCTGTTGTCATTTTTATCCAACACAGAGAGGGTCACAGTGGCAATGGATTCTCGCGAGGGCACGCCGGAATCCACAGCTCTGACAGTGTAGCGATATTTTTCTCGTTCTTCTCTATCCAGCTGGGTAGAAACAGTAAGGATCCCAGTAACTTTGTCCAAGGAAAAATAGGAAGGTGCCTCAGGCCCAAGGAAGTAAAACACTTGACCCCTTTCTCCGCTGTCAGCATCGGTGGCATGCAGCTTGGTCAGAAATGCATTGGGGACATTATTCTCCTCTATGGATAATTCTATCAAGACTTGAGAGAAAACTGGAGCATTGTCGTTGTCATCCAGAACCTGCACTTGGATGATTTTATTCACGTGAAATCCCTCTGTATTCCACGCAACCACAGAGATCTCATACAACTGCTGAGCCTCGTAATCCAAGGCCTTTGTAGTCTCCAAAAGATACTCATTGTGATAGGGTTGATAAGGTGTCAGTTGGAAAGGGCCATCCCCTTCCAAATAGCAATCAACTTTATATTTTTCATCGGGGTCTTTGATAGTGAAAAAAGCAATGGGGGTGTTGACGGGTTCCAACTCTCTCAAGTAAACCACCCCCTCTGCTTCATTAGCTATAAAACGGGGAATCACTTCAGGTGGTCTCATGGTAACTTTGATGATGGACACCAACACGGTTATCACCGCTGGGATGCAACCAGGACCGTTGGCCAATACATTCAGCCGATGCAGAAGAGGTGTGTCCCCGTTGATCCTCTTGAACAACTTAATCACCCCCGTGCTTTCGTTGAGACGGAAGAGGGTGCGGGACAGAAAGGAAACCTTTTGGCTGTAGGAATAGGTTATTTCGGCATTGATTCCGTGATCAATATCCACAGCATGGACTGAAGCTATGTGCAACCCAGTACTAGAGTTGCCAAAGATGGTGACGTTGATCTGTGTCTCACTGAACTGGGGACAGTTGTCATTAATGTCACTGATACCAATGGTGAGGGTGGCACTACCCACCAGTGGCGGAACCCCACCATCCTCTGCAATCATAAGAGTGACATATTGGTCGGTGGTCTCCCTATCCAGGGCACCCATGACAATAAGATAAGGTGTTCTTTCTCCACTTTCATTCTCCTCCACGTCCAAAGTAAAAACCCCATAATCTTCTTGTAGTTGGTACGTCTGCACCCCATTGGTTCCCATGTCTGGGTCCACAGCTGGATGCTCTATAGCTAAACGGGTATTGATGGGCGAATTTTCAGGCACAGAGAGGTGTATCTGTGGCACGGGGAACCACGGTGCATTGTCATTGATGTCATGGATGGCAATCTTCACCTTAACCAGACGGAAATACTCCTGGGGTAACACCAGAACATCTAGCAAGAGCAAGCACGACTCTGAGGATGGAAGTGGAGAAGAGGAAGAAGATGAAACCACCGTGGAGCCAACATTATCCTCCAGGCAGAGTGTTTCTCGGTCAATTTCCTGGGTCGAGGTGCACAGGACCCCTGTCTGATTGTCCAGGTTGACGTATTGGCTCCCCAGTCCTTGGGAGGCAAAGCTGAAGGAAAGTAGACTTTTCCCCCATTGGTCAGTCTCCTGCTTCCTCACCAGTCCTCCTTTCTCTTCGTCCTCTGCAGCCCCCACAAGCTGTAAATCCTGGGCTAGGTTCCCAATGAGGAATCCAGCAGGAAGTCCTTCGTTGATGCTGTAGAAGAGTTCGCTGGCCCGACTGTAGCTTGCAAAGCAGTTAAAAGGTTCCAAGAAAAGCAGGAAAATGAATACGTTCTGGGAAAAGAGAAGCACAGAGTGTTAGTAGAAAGAACATCCTCCACGGTCAAACTTAAAGAGATGTCCATCCCCCCCACCCCCACCCAAGACCACCATGTCTGGTGTCAATCAAGCCAACCATCTACTCAACACTCAATAGCCCTCATCACAAAGCATCTTTCTGCCACGGATCCTTCATTTCCAGATCACCCAATGAACAACGAAGGGAGAGAGACTCTTAGCCACAACAATGATTTCTTTCTGTGATCTGCTTGGGTTGCCTTCAGCCCTCACCATGAAATGATGGATCAGGTTTACCCTTCATTTTATCTACCCCTTGCTTAGGATGAAATCCACTGGGGGAAAAAAAAAAACAAGAGAGGGGTGATAGATCTCTATGAAGCATGTCTATTCATGATACTGTTTACAATTTTGCCCCATTGCCTTCTGCTTTCAGAAGAATAATCCTGGGACCGAGGAAGGAGAGAATGCAGATGTTTAACTTCAATTTCATTCCTCCCCCTTTTTCTTAAACAACAACAACATCAACATCCACCTGTTGGTCAAAGGATAAGCAGATTATCCCAGAGACAAGAGATTGCATTACGATTTGGCATAAAATGCATCATTAAAAAAAATAAAAAAAATTGAAAACAAACCCTAACCCTGCAAGCAAAAAAAAAATATATGCAATCCTAGAAGAACCTCATTCCGCCTTCCACTCTGATGTGCGTTTTTCTCTCAAGGGACTTCCCCCCCCCCCCTGCTTACAAAACCAACCAAGCAGAATGGAATCTACTACCGTCCCTGGATAACTTTCCTAACAGGAACCCCTCTTGGAGTCTGCAAAGCGGACCTTGGCAACTTGGAAAGATTACCTGGCCAAAACCTGCTTTGAAACTCCTTTGCCACGGTGGTGGTGGTGCAGCAAACTCTTTACTTGGAAGCAAAGCTGCCAAGGGCTTATTTCCAAATCAATTGGCAGAGGATCAGGCTGCAGGTAAATGGGGACATTTAGGCTGCTGCCACCCCACCCCCCACTCCCCACCTCCGTTGCCCCATTACACCTGCATGGGATGGCCACCTTGAGCAAGGATATTATGTAGGGCAGCTAGTGCACAATCCGAATCCTGTAACTCCAATAGCAGGTTAATAGCAGCAGGAGCCTCCTGTTGCTTTTTTCTTTCTTTCTTTCTTTCTTTCTTTCTTTCTTTCTTTCTTTCTTTCTTTCTTTCTTTCTTTCTTCCTTCCTTCCTTCCTTCCTTCCTCTTCTCCTCTTTCTATCTTCCTTCCTCCCTCCTTCCTCTCCTCCGCACCCTCCCCTCCCCTCCCTTCTCCTCCCCCCTTCCTTCCTCTCTCCCTCCCTCCCTTCCCTCTTCTCTTTTAGTCTCTTTCTCTCTCTTTTCCTTCCTTCCTTCCCCTCTCTTCCTTTTTTCTCTTTCTCTTTTCCTTCCTTCCTTACTCTCTTCTCTTTTTGTCTCTTTCTCTCTTTTCCTTCCTTCCTTCCTTCCCTTCTCATTTTCTCTTTCTCTTTTTCTTTCTCTTTTCCTTCCTTCCTTCCCCCTCTTCTCTTTTTCTCTCTTTCTCTTTTCCTTCCTTCCTTCCTTCCTCCTTTTCTTTTTGTCTCTTTCTCTCTTTTCCTTCCTTCCTTCCTTCTCCTCTCTTCTCTTTTTCTCTTTCTCTTTCTCTTTTTTCCTTCCTTCTTTCCTTCCTTCCCCCTCTTCTCTTTTTCTCTTTCTCTTTTCATTCCTTCCTTCTTTCTTTCCTTCCTTCCTTCCCCTCTTCTCTTTCTCTCTCTTTCTCTCTCTCTTTTCATTCCTTCCTCCTTCATCCCATCCCCCCTCTTCTCTTTGCCCACCCTCCATCCCCCCAATTTTAGGGGAGCCTCAGGACGCTCCTAGTTCCCCCCCTCCCCGCTTCCCTCCTTCGGTCAACTTGCGCCCGATCTGGGCTCGGCGAGGGCTTCCAACCGTTCCCACGATTCCGCGCGACCCCCGCGACCCCCTCCTTGAACCCGCTTTTTTTCTCCCCCCTCCCCCCTCCCTCCCCAGGACTCCCCGATCCCTCCCGGCGCACCTGCAGGCTCCTCTGGCCGGCGGCTGCTCTGCTGCTGCTGCTGCTGCTCCCAGGGCTGGAGGGCTGCCCCATAGCCGGCTGCCGGCTCCGCTCGCCTCGCCGCCCGCTGGACTGGAGGGCCGGGGGCGAGGCGCGCCGCGTCTCATTCCCTGGGCGGCGCATCCCAAATGCGGTCCTGGAGGTCCCCCCCCCCTTCGCGGGGAGGACCGGAGGGGGAGGAGGAGGAGAAGGGGAAAAAAAGAAAAAGAAAAGAAGAGGGAGAGAGAAAAAAAAAATAGGAAGGGAGAAAAAAAAAAGGGAAGGAAGGAAAGAGGGGGGGCGCTTCCTCCGCGGGGGGAGCGCAGGCGAGATAAACTAAGTGGCCCTCCCTCCCTCTCTAATTATGCAAATGCCCGGGGGGGGGGGCTCCAGCCAATGGCCACGCGGGACGGCTCAATTAGCCGAGGGGGCGCCGGGGGGGGTGTCCCCCGCGAGGGTCGCTCCGAAGCGGCGGCTCCTTCGGCTCCTCTGCCCGGCTCAGCCTCCGCCGACGCCGCGCTCGGAGTGCGGCTGCCGCCGACCCTGGGCTGGTCGAGGAGCGCCTTCCCGCCGCGCGCCTCGCCGTCGCCGCCGCCCCCCCCCCCCAAGCCCCCGACGGGGATCGGCCGGGCGAGGCGGCCCGATCGGAGCCCCCGAAGGGCCCGGATTCACCCCTTCCGCCGAGGAAGGGAGAAAGAGGGAAGGGAGACTGGAAGACTGGGGGGGGGGGGGGGCTGGCTTCGCGCTTTGCTGCGCCCTTTACTTTCTTTGGAGAGGTTGGCTCAGGCTAGCCTGAAGTGCTGGGATTTCCTGATGGTCTCCTTCCCAAGGACTGTGTATTATTATTATTATTATTATTATTATTATTATTATTATTATTATTATTATTATTATTATTATTATNTATTATTATTGTTGTTGTTGTTGTTGTTGTTGTTGTTGTTGTTTTCTCCTTTTCCTCCTTCTTCTCTGCTCCTCCTGTTGTTTTTTCTTTCTTTTTTCTTCTATTTCTTCTCCTCCTCCTCCTCCTGTCTTCTTCTTCTTCTTCTTCTTCTTCTTCTTCTTCTTCTTCTTCTTCTTCTTCTTCTTCTTCTTCTTCTTCTGCTTCTGCTTCTGCTTCTGCTTCTGCTTCTGCTTCTGCTTCTTCTGCTTCTTCTCCTCCTCCTCCTCTTCTTTTCTTCTTCTTCTCCTTCTCCTTCTCCTTCTCCTTCTCCTCCTCCTCCTGTTTTCTTCTTCTTCTTCTTCTTCTTCTTCTTCTTCTTCTTCTTCTTCTTCTTCTTCTTCTTCTTCTTCTTCTTCTTCTTCTTCTTCTCCTCCTCCTCCTCCTCCTCCTCCTCCTCCTCCTCTTTTCTTCTTCTTCTTCTTCTTCTTCTTCTTCTTCTTCTTCTTCTTCTTCTTCTTCTTCTTCTTCTTCTTCTTCTTCTTCTTCTTTCTTCTTTCTTCTTCTTCTTTTTTTTCTCCTCCTCCTCCTCCTCCTCCTCCTCCACTATTATTATTATTGTTGTTGTTGTTATTATTGTTATCTTTTATTCATTAGATATGACTCTCAGTCAAGTCAAGTTTTTGGACATAGTTCCCAGTGCCCCGATGACAACGGGTATCACTGTTACACGTTTCATCCATAATCGCTCAGTTTCGATGGTCAGGTCGCGATATTTTGTAATTTTTTCCAGTTCTTTTTCTTCGACTCTGGCATCTCCTGGTACAGCAATATCAGTTAGCTGTACGCTTCAGTTCTCTACAACTGCGATATCCGGCGTGTTGTGTTACAAATGGTGATCCGTCTGTATTCGAAAGTCCCACAAGATCTTCAACCTCTCATTCTCAACAACTTTTTCCACTCTATGTTCCCACGACTTTTGGGACACAGGCAAGTTGTATTTTTTACACAATGCCCAGTGGATCAATTTGGCAACTCAGTCGTATCTATTATTATTATTTTGAAACCATCAGGCTGACTCTACCTGGACTCCTGAGAAGAGCAAGGAGGAGTGGAGATGGTTGTGTAGCAGGAGTTAGGATGCTGTTGGGTCACTGGCTTTTCCAGGATGGAAATGTCCAGATCATCTTCCAAACCAAGTTTCACCATCTTTGGCCCAGGTTGAGGTTGTCCACGTGTTGTTGTTGCTGCTGTTGCCTAGCTGGATTGCCAAAGGGGGGGAAAAATGCCATGGTGATCGCAACCACTGTTGGTATCGCAACATCATTTGACCTCCATCTATATAATATCTTTATTTTTTAATCCACTGAAATTAACAGCCCAGTTTCTGAGAATGTGGGGAGAAGTTTATGACCCTAAAAACATTTTTGCTGTCATCTAGCTAGTTTTGATGTTTGGAATGAAAAAAAAAATCAATGCAGAAGATCACTTCTAATTTTCAGTTGTACCTTCTCTGGTGCAAGCTGGATTTCTTCATGGCTCCCTCTAATGGTATAGGGTTTCCTACCTGACTAGATGACCTCCAATGCCTATTCTATTCTATTCTATTCTATTCTATTCTATTCTATTCTATTCTATTCTATTCTATTCTATTCTATTCTATTCTTATTCCTATTGCTATTCCTATTCCATTCCTATTCTATTCTATTCTACTCTACTCTACTCTACTCTACTCTACTCTACACTCCACTCCACTCCATTCTATTCCCATTCCTATTCTACTCTACTCTACTCTACTCTACTCTCCACTCCACTCCACTCCACTCCACTCCACTCCACTCCACTCCATTCCATTCCAGCTGGCTCCCCTGAGCCTAACCACCCATTTAATTTGCAACCTTCTGAGGTTGTCACCCACGTCTGCCTCTGGAAGATGACAAAACACACCCTTAAGAGTGTATTTCTCATCCTCTTCAAGGCTACCAGTTCTGGGTTGCAGATGTAGAAGAGCCCCTTCCCATGTAGTCTGTCATAGGCCATTTTAGTTTCATCAGTGTAGGAGACCTGATCACAGACAGGATCTCATTTGTGAGTTCAGCAATGTGTTTGTAGATTCTTCTTGTGGTGTCTTATTTCCATAGAAAGAATCCTAGGCAGAGTCAACCATATCTATCTATCACAAACAAGGTGTTTGTAGTTCTCTGGGGCTTTGTGTCATTCTAACTTGCTTATCTTTGGATCTTCAACCCTTGCTGTTGGGATTTCTAGCCTGTCCCCACCCCACCCCTAATACATTCATTCTGCTAACGCATTTGGATTTTGTTAGGAGGCCCCCAATTAAATTTGGAAACATTCTTTTCTCAGGCAAAATAATGTTCCAACTGACTTGCAGTATAAAAGCAGATACTCCCTTGAGCTGAATTTGATCTACACCACCTCTTGTTGTTTTCTTGGCAACAACACCAAATTGGTTTGCCTCGTTCCGGATTATTTTATTTCTGAGTCCTCCCTGCCTATTTTGCAAACCTGAAATATATTGGTTGGGCCCCGATCTAACCAGCCTGATCCTGTTTTAGAAATCAGTCTTGGATTTCGCCACTTTGCTAGGAGGCTTCTCAAAGATAGTCAGACCAAAACAAGAACAGTAGTTGCCAGACACAACAGCAACAAAATACATATTGCTTTCTTCACACCGTCCTGGAAGAAAGAGACAATTGCTTCCAGGTGCTGAAGGAAGGAACTTTTTGGAGAGTGAGTCTGAAACATCCCACTGAACAGATGCAATATGTATTGTGCATTGCATAAACGGATCGCCTCCATTTGACACATTTTCCTAAGCAGCTTCTCAGATCCACCCTGGCTGCTAGCAAAACAAACAATTTTGCAACTTCTTCCATTAATGAGAACCGTCATCACCAAAACATCAACGAAAAGCTAGGCTACATGAGATATGGCTTGCCCAGGCTGCTTATTAAGTAAAAATAAAAATAAAAATCAATTCCCTCAAGGCAAACCCTTTAACAAAAGATCATATCTAGACTAGCATTTGACAAATGGTTCGATGACAAACACATATCACTATAATAGCTTGCCAGCTAAAAATACAATAATATCAAAATGTTGCAACTGTAAATAGATTGAGCACGATCTATAACAATGATTGTGAGCAAATGGAGTCAGCCCAGACTCCTGGTTCCTGTTAAGAATGGTGGAGAAGGGAGGCAATTTGAACTTGGCCTACAGACAAGAGACCGAAAGTCACAATGCCATAAAAGTTTTTTAAAAATAATAATAATCAAGTCTACCAAATAAGAAACGGGCTGTGCATTTACACGATTTTTTTTAACCTGTGGTTTTCTCCATAATTAAATTAAAGCTTCTTAGCCTCAAGCAAGCTCAGATTTTGGCATTCTTTTGCTCTGAGGTTGCATTTTTCCTGTGCCCTAAAATAACCTATTTTGGAGCCTCGCCAATATCCTGAAGCATACTCTAACCATCCCAGGAAGGAAATCTAGGCCAAATTGTTTAGTAGGACTTTCATGGAGACTGTGTGTCAGACAATGTCATTTTCATTTCATTATTTCAATTCATGTTTTGTTTTGTTTTTGTGGGTTTTGATGACCACGTTACTTTGTTCATCACATTGGGTAGTTTTCACACCTCCATCTTTCCCATTGGTGTATAAAAAGGCGATCAACCAAGCAACTCATTAGACCCGGCTTGGGTAACTTGGAAATCTGAAGAAAATAATCAAAATGCAACTAACCAGGATTTGCATACTGTCTGAATGCAACTGGCAGTTCTTCAGCTGGCTTAGCTACATGTGTTATGTGAGAATAAATTCTGTGTACACTTTCTCTCAATAGACATGCTTTTTTGGGGGGGGCAGGATCTCTTTTGGACCAGGATCTCTCTGCCAAAAAATTGTGGTTCCAAAGAACTGTAGAAAGACAGGTGATGCATCATCTACCTTGATGTGGCTTCTAGTATACCTTCCTAATGGCCCTCCATTCAGGAAGTCCTGCAGTATAAAAAAAAGTTGTGACACTATGCAACACAAGAGTAAGGGTAGCTAGTATTTCCAGCAAATTTGAAATGTAATGTACCGTGGTCAGGAGCACATTATAGCTGCCTCATCTTCCAATCAGACCCAATCAACTGTCTCTACTAGCGTCATTTATTGAATTAAGCCAAGACACTCTCAAGGCCGTATCTGTGTGGTGTTGAGATGCACCTGAGCTGAAGATAAATCTTAAGAAGGAGT